AAAGTAACCATAGGATAATGTTATTTTTAGAGGGTATATCAGTTCTATTTCCAAATAGTATGCTCAATATGGTTGCCTTCAACCCTCAGGCATATTTTTCAGTGAAGTAGCTCTGCATTTTAAAGCAGTGCTCCTATTGTTGATTACAAAAAACTCAAAAAATTACAAAATACAGAGCAATATTTTCTTTGTAGTTTTACTTCAAGATGAACAATATTGTCATTTTTTTAGGTGAATGATTTTATCATTGTTTTAAATGTCAAGGTATTTTACCTGCAAGAATTTTAGAAGAAATTAGAAAAATGTAAAAGAGGAAGAGAGAAATAATTCCTAGATTAACACATCAATTTTAGCAGGCATTTACAGAACACAGGAGAAAAAAGAAATCTCAAAAAAAATAGCCCACCTAGTGTGTCTCACTGGTTGAGCATCGACCCATGCACCAGGAGGCTGCTGGTTTGATTCCCTGTCAGGGCACATGCCCAGGTTGTAGGCCCGATCCCCAGTGGGGAGCATGCAGGAGGTGGCCAATCAATGTTCTCTCTTGTTGATGTTTCTATCTCTCCCTCTCCTTTCCTTTCTCTCTAAAATCAATTAAAAATGCTTTTTAAGAAAATTAAAAAAACAAAAACAAAGACATACATTTGAAATACTTTGGATATTTATCTCAATCACAAATATAAATAATTTGCGAATAGTGATAAAACTCTTAGAGAATGACATTCAATCATTTACTCTTTCAAGCCCCAAAGAAGACAAGTATAAATCTCTTTTCTTATGTACTTTCTACCTAGTGAGGCAAGACAAACAATATAGTATGGTAATGAATGCTATTAGAAAAATGTAAAGCAAGGAAGTGGATAGGAGGATTTGCAGAAAGGGGTGCACTTTGAATAAGGTAGTCAGGAAAGATATTCCATGAGGAGAGACACTGGGAAAAGTCCTTGAGGAAATGAGGGAGTAAATTAAGGCAGGTCTGGGATATGTATGCAATTTAGAGGAAACAGCCAGTGTGAAGGCCCTGAGGTAGATGCACGACAAACCTGTTTAAAGAAAAGTAAGATCAGGGTAGCAGGAAAAAAGCAAGGAAGATCAGACAAATGCACATTGTGAATGCGTGGCCTTTTCCCTCACTGTCTTCCTCATATTTCTCACCATATTCATGTAGGTTATCCATAGGGTAATCAAAAGCAATTTGGGGGTGTTTTAAGGATTTGACTTACACTCTGTAAAAGATGGAAAGCCTCTGGCAGTCTTGCACAGAGGAGCAGGCTGGTCTGGCTTACATATTAAACAGTTTGCTCTGGCTGCTATGTAGAGAGTAGGTAACAGAGAACAGGAGATGCGCAGTGATCCGGTTAGAAGATCAAGGCAGTAGTCAAATTGAGAGATGTTGATAACTTGCATCAGAGGGACAGCAGTCAAGGTGGTGATAAATAGATTCTGCATATATTTTTAAGGTAAAGACAAAATGATTTTCTGATAGGTTCATTGTGGGATGAATAGAGTAAACTCAAGAGCAACTCAAATTTATTTGTGTGAACAACAGAAGTATAAAGTATCATTTCCTGATTTGGAAAGATAGATTAGTTGTTAAATTTTGATTATGTTAATATGGAGATGTTTTCTAGCAAACTACCTTGAATCAGAAAGCAGGCGATTAGACATACAATTCTAGAGTTAAGGGGAGTAGTCCAGGCTGAGTTTCAGAGACATAATGAAATCACCAAGAAACTACTAAATAGAGGAGAGCAAAGCTCTGAGCCATTTCAAATGTTCAAGGTCAAGAATAAGTGGTTAGTAAAGTAGAAGGAACCAAGAGTATGAGATATCTGGAAAGCCATGGGGTAAAAAAAAAAAAAAGTATTGATAACAAAGGAACAATCACTTGTGTCAAATACAATTTGATTGAAGATCAGTCAGTAAGATAAATTTGACTATTGGGTTTAGCAACACCATTGGTTACCATGACAAGAGTATTGTCAGTAGAGTAGTCAGGACAAAAGCTAGCTTGGAATGGGTTTAAAAATAAAATTGGATAGCCCTGGCCGATTTGGCTCAGTAGTTAAGAGTGTCGGCCTGCGGTCCGGAGAGACCCGGGTTCGGTTCCCGCTAAGGGCACGTACCTCGTACCTCCGTTGCAGTTTTTCCCCGGCCTGGTTGGTAGTGCAGGTGGCAGCCCTTTGATGTGTCCCTTTCACATCAATGTTTCTCTCTCTCTCTCTTCCTCTCTCTCCCTCCCACTCTATCTGAACAAAAAATGGAAAATGTCCTCAAGTGAGGATAAAAAAATAAAAATAAACAAATAAATAAAATAAAATAGGATAAGGCAGTTTAATTATGGAACTGGCAAACAACTTTGTTGAGGAACTTTGCTGTAAATAAGAAAAGAGAAATAGGATAGTAGCTAGAGGGGGTTGCAAGATCAAGAGAGATTTTTGGTTTAGGGTTGAATTTTCATTATGTTTTAATTCTATTCGGAATGATCCTATAAAGAAGAAATATGTATGACCCAGGATAGAGATGGGAAGATTTCTGGAGCAATGTCCCTGAAAAAGTCAAGAAGGGATGGAATTTTCAGCATCAGAGACGCCTGCATGTGAACGAATACTAGGACACCCAGGGGTGGAGAATGATAGAGACTGAACTATGAGGAATTGAGACAGGAGCTCATTAGAGAATTAGGTGAATCTTTGGTTGACCATAATGATTTAGAGTTACTCCTTTGTAGTACAGAGTGGATATATAACAAAACCCACTATTTTATGTTAGTTCTAGTTGAACTTCTGGTGGTCAGTTTACTGAAAATAGACATATAATTGTCAATGCAGGACCCAAGTGTGGTTCCTCTTAACTCATTCTCTGTTGAATTCATAGAATTCAATTTTAAAATGACTCTTTAAAAGCTCTGTTTTGTGTGAAGTTCAATGTGTCTCATGAAATACAAGGATAGATTGTAACCTGTAACACCATGAAAGTCAGTATAGCAACATGCTGTTCCATGCGGTAGCCTATCCAGCAAGTAGCCTCCCACCTACTGATGATCCACATTATGAAATGTTGGGCAGGAAAGGAGTTTCTGTACAAGTAAAGCAAAGTCTAAATTTTTTCTGTATGTGTGTGTGTTTGTGTGTGTGTGTGCACGTGCATGTGCACATGCATTTATTCTATTCCAAATATTAATGAGAAGGCAAAACATTTTTGTTCCTTGTTTTCCACATCTGTCATTTGTAGTGAGGAGATGTCCCAAAGACTGGAATTTTCACAGAATCATCATAAGAATTCAGAAATTTTCATATTCACTCTCTGTTGTTGATTGAACAGAGACTTCTCTCAGAGCCAGGCAAATAGAGATTCTCTCTATATGTGTGTGAGTGGATATGAAAGTATAGAAGTAAGGAAAATCTTAAATCAATAGAATTTGTGAGTAAATTCTGAACAGTACTTAGAAAATAATCATGGTTTGCATTAGAAAAACTCCCAGAAAATGTTCTTATGAAATAACTTTACCAACAAAAACGTAGCATGACAATTTAAGCAGCAGGAGCCCAAGTTATTGTAAAAATAAGCCAGTATTGCTTTAATTACACAATTTGTCTTTTTCCGTTTTCTGCTAATTCTCAGTAAGGCTCAACATTTCATCAAACACTGTGGAGCCTTTATGCTGTGTCAGACCCTGAAAATATGTAAGTGAAAAGAAGCAATTACTGTCCTTGAGTCATCTACATCTCAGTGAGGAAAGTCTGGAAATAGACTCTCACAACCCTGAGTGATGAAAACATTGGGTAAAATACTTGCTTAATGTCAAGAGGAAACAGGAAAATAAGAGGTGTGATCTCTGTACAACGTATGATCAGAATGAAGATACAAGTCTTCTTTTGAGCAATTCCTCAATCCACACTCCACCCCACTCCTCACCCCCTAACAACAACAGCAAAAAAAAAGCAAGGCTGTGTGTAATCAGGTGTTATCGCAGAGACCACTTCATTTATTCAAAGAAGGTCCAGAACAGTAGCAGCTGGCAGCAGCTCTCTGATTCTCTCACAGGATAAATGCCAAAGTCCCTGCAGTAGTAGCTTTTGCAAGGTCCTCCAGGATCTTGTGTCTGTTTCTCTGACTTCTGCTCCTGCCAGCCCCATTCATTCTGCTCCAGCCACACTGACTTTCTGCTGCCAAGTCTTCCACGCATACTCCTTGGTCAGAGCTCTTGGCAATCCGCTTCTTCTTCCTGGATGGCTCTTGCCCTGGATTATCTCTGTGGCTCCCTCCCTCACCTGCCCCAAGGCTTTGCTCAGACACATTCTCAAAGAGCCTTTTTTGATCAGCCTTCTTTAAATGTAGCCACTCCCCCTGTTCTCACTTGCTCAGTCACATTTTAACCTCCTGCATCATCTGTCATCTCTTAGAACTATTTAACCTACTGTATTTAACTTATACTTGTTCTTCATGTGTTTCCTCTCACTAGACTGTAGCTCCACAAAGAGGAATTTCTGCCCAGCTTGTTGTTGGTGTACCCCGACTGTTAGAACAGTGCCACACACATAACAGGACACAATTATTTTGGTAAATGAATACATGCTATGAAACATTTCTTCTGCATTTTGATTTTGGTTGGCAAGAAATTTATACTTCTCGTCGGCATCTGATCAATGCCAGCACGTGTTGTTATTTTAATTGTGGTGAATTTGAAAGTGGCGTAAACCATGCAGTACCCACTGGGGAAGAACCAATGCCAAACTCTTATCATATTGCTATGGAAAATGTTTTCTATAGTAATAATTAATATCTATGCTGTTACAACAGGCATTACAAAAGTACACTTATTAAATTTACCATAACTATTTTCTCTCACTGCAGTAATTTATAACTGGGTGTAGGGAAGAAAAGTCAGAAAGGAATCACAGTGCAATTCAGATTTTTGAGTATCAGGTGGGTGCCGACTACTATTTTGGCATAAAGAGTAGAGTGGTGCGTAATAAATACCTATAAGGATCACATACCATGGTGTTTACATTCCAGCGGGGTCCATGTTCTCTTTGCTCTTAATACTGTAAAAAATAAATTCAAGGACAGGTCTAAGATTGTGCATCGGACAACTATGGAAAAGACAATGCATAACAGAAGCCACAAGCAGTATGAGTAATAAGCAATATGGTGTTTGATAAAAATTAAACAATGTTTTGAGCTCAGGATTTCCTTCCATACCTGCTATTCACATCAGTCCTGGTCTCAGAACAGAACTTGAGCGTCTAGGACAAAGGAAAGTAGAGACACCTGCTGGAGTGACAGGGTGAGGAAGCAGGAAGGAGCCGATGACAAAGACTATGGCATTTCAATAAGGTCACAGAAAGAAAACGATCAGGAAAATGAATAGACAAGAAAGCTTTGACTGCTAATCAAGTGCTTAAATAATTGGCTATTTCGAGTGCTTTTATTATAAAATGTAAAAGGGTAATAAAGAACAATTTAATATTTGGAGTATTTAATTCACAATTATTAAGTGTTAATTGAAAATTCATTATTTTTAGCCACCAATAATTAAAGTGTAATTTATAGTAGAGTTCCGGCTCCATTACAACATATTCTTGAGGTAAAATATATGGAAACAGGTATTTTCCTCCTTCAAGAAATTAAATCTCCAATATAAATTAGAAAACAAATACGTGGGCTTCCAGAATCCTTATCATGTTGGAGAGATTGAATTTACTTATTTTCCAGGAGCTATAACAATTAGATCTGTGAGGGGTGGAGGAGGAGGCCCCAGGTCATGGGAGGGGTGCTTTCTCAGCATGCTGTGTTAAAAAGCTGTTGTCTAAAGCAAAGACAGCAGAAGAAAATGTATTTTTTTAAAAAGGGCTCCTGTGAATTTATGAGAAGTGCATCACAAAGACAAATATTTCAGCCATGCAATTCCATTCGGCCTTTTCAGCTGTGTGTCCATAGCAAGTCAACGGCTAAATTGAAAAATCAATTCCAATTTAAATTATTGGAATAAAGAACACCAGGAGTCAGAGATAAAATGGCTTTGTTCTCTGAGATCCTTTTTAATTGGAAAGTTATTTCTTCAGGGTATTCTAATGGTTCTGAGGGAAGATTGCAAAATAAAGTTGATCGGCTGGGGGAAGGTTAATAGCTAATGTGCTTTCCTGGCCGTTCAGCAGCCTCCTGTCGTGATGACATCCCCCATCATATCATCGTATCAGGAAGGGCTGAAGATTCTAAATCACTTGATACATGCAAGGGCTGTATTTTCTCTGAGTCTTTCAAAAATCGCCCTGAAGCTGGAACCCTGGCAGACCCTTATGGCTTTTGCAGCCTTTCCAATTGGACTCACTTTTGCTTACAAATGTCACAGGACCCTTTTCTATGGGGATGTTTCTCTAACAATGGAGTGGTAATTAATGAAAATAAAAGATACCTGAAGAGGATGTTAATAAAAGCTCTGCTCTTTAACGACGGAAAAAGAAAGGAAAAAATGTGCAGGCCTGAATTAAACAGAGGAAAAAATATTTATAGACTTAGTAGATGGAAAACAAAGGTACAAAGAGAGGACAAAGGAAGTGACATGACATATAGAAAAGTATTACAAATATTCTTATCAAAAAGCTAATATTGGACAGAGTGAGGAACCAGGGTCATATTTGGAAAGCTTCAGCCTGAAGTTTAAAAACTAAGGTTTAATTAAACATATAATAACCTTTGGCTTTGCCTGTAGAAAACTGTTTAAGGCAGCTGTAGATTAAAAACCTTAAATGAGCATTTAATTTTAAATTAATAAAACAGTTATGGTGTGTGTTAGGAAAAGTTACTGAGGTTTGCTTAAGTATATTTAATTACTCTAAAAGAGATAAATCTCGTTTTCCTGTAATGAACTCAGAAGTGCAGATATAGTAAATATGTACTTACATTCTTGTTATTAATGCATTAAATTCGTAAGAATATTTAGGAATTTAATTAGCATTTAATAAGATAGCAATAGCAAATTACAGTACTTAGAAGTTAAATGTAAATTAATATTTTTAGTATTTAATTGATATTAACTAATTAATTACTGTTTATTACATGGCAGCTAGATTTATCTTTTATGGAGTTATTAAATCTCAATTAAAATGCTCTTTTAAGAAGGCACAGTCAATTAAAAATAATATTCTATAAGAATTTCATAACTCTATTCTCCCAGGACTTGTGGTGCATAAATGTATCAAATCAAATAACCAAGGTAGTTTAGAAAGGAACTGAATTGGGTCTATGCCTGAGTTGTTGAAGCACTAGACCTGCCCAGGTAAGAAGGGTTTTTAAATGAAAGTCAGATAGTATTTTTATCTATTAAAATTATAAGTAATGTATAGGCTTAGAAAGACTCTGACTCAGAAATATCTCTCCATAGAAAATGGTACTGTGTCCAGGGATTATTTCTTTGAGAAAAGTGACCACAGGTTATTAAAATAAAAGTGCTATTTATTATTTGTTATTTCCCTCTTCGTGTGACTTAATGTTTCATATACAACATGGCAATTACTTGGAAGTAGGTTTTGCCAGCAGGAGGCTTAGTAAGATCATTAACTCAATAAGGGGTCAACAATCAAATGTGTTAGACAGGAGGGGAAAAAAAAGACGGGAAATATACAAGTTAAAATTTTATTTTTCTACCAAGGCTATGTTCTTCCTGTCAGTTCCTTAAATGTAGTATGTGCTCAACAAATATTATATAAATGAAATGTATAAAATCTTCCATATCTGGCACCAAATAATTCCTGTAGGTACTTCACAGTTATTTTGAAATCTAATCTGAGACAAGATAGAGTACAGGTTATTTATCCATCCCCCACATTGGTGTAAACTTGCCTCATTTTAAATCCTGATTCTACCTCATTCAAGGTGTGACACCTTTGAAATGTCTTATTACTAGTACTATATATCACTACTCTGTGCTTTGGCATCCTTTATAATTACAGATGAGAGTACCATTTGAGGATTATCATAAGGACTGAGTTAATTAATGTAAGGAAATTTAGAACACCACTTAGCGCATAGAAATAACTCAATAAGTGCTTATTGCAGTTGCAATCTCCAATTTTAAAGTAGTCTTATTCTCTACAATTTGGAGCTGGAGAAGATACATTATGTTCTAGCACACTAAAAACAATTGGAAAACAAATTAGCTCATTTTTATCTAGTTTTATCCCCTTAAATAATTAATCTCAGTCATTGTAAATATTTATCATTACCCACAAGTCATTTTTTTGCACAGCTAAAATACTATGTGATTTTAATCTTTTTCTCATGAATCAATTCTTGAAGATCCTTTGTCATTTTTGTTCCTACAATTTTCAAGCATAATGAAGATATTAAATAAACCTATCTTACATTGATTCTTGCTTCTCTCAACTAGATATCTAACATCTCAGCTCAATAAATAGCCATTCATCATTATGTGTTTAGTCAGTCTTGGGTCTTGTGACAATCTTCTTACCTAAGCTCAGTGAAATTAATTTTCAGTTAATATTTCCCAAAATCATTTTGGAACACAAGTAATCCACTGATTATAATGCTTACTCATGTTTACCTGCAATAGCAAAATCTGTTCTTTAAATTTATCTATACACAACTTTGTTTACATTATAATTTATGACAGAAGTAGGTATTTTATACTCAATTTATGGCATTAATTCTCTGAAACCAGGAACTTAAAATAAGTAGAAATAGATTCTCATACCAGCCACCTTAGACATACCATTTATATTATTTTAGCTTACTTTCATTCTTCTATAGAAGAAAGACTTTGATAGAATAATCTTTTAAAAAGATAGAGTACAGGTTAATTATCCATCCCCCACATTTGTATGAACTTGCTTAATTTTAAATCCTGATTCTACCTCATTCAAGGTGTGGCACCTTTGAAATGTCTTATTACTATTACTATATATCACTATATTAATTATTTAAGGGGATAAAACTAGAAAAAAATGAGCTAATTTGCTTTCCAATTGTTTTCCAATTCTAGCATACTATTAAATTATACTGAACCAAACATGAAATTCTTCTCTATTGTTTGTGTTTGACTATGAATTTTTCCTTTGCTTGGCACTTTAACAAGTTACTTTTTTTTTCTGAAATGAACGCATAAAACAAACTTTTAATATAAAACCATTAGCCAAAAAGTTAAATAAAATGGGTTATTCTGACTTCTGTGAGCAATAACGACAAGGATACAAATACACTCATGATTAAAAGAATCAAAAAGCAGGAAAAACAATAGATGGGAAAGACAAGTCCACGGAGGTATGGTGTCTTGTTTCTTTAATTCTTCATCAGTCTCTGCTGATTCAGCTTTGGCCGTTAGATGTGTAAGACTAAGCCCTGTGGCAGTAAAGAACTAAAGAAGAAATGACAGAGCACTCGACAGATGTGCCGAAAAAAAAAAGTTTTACTCAAGAGGAAAAAGATTAAAGATGAGAAGGAGAAAAAAAGCAAACATTTCATCTGAGAAGTTACTCAGGGAAAAAAACAAGGGAAAAAATGGATACAGGATAGCCTTTTTGCTTTGAATGTTGAGTTGTGGGTTTGAAATTGACTGAAAGGCGCAAGGGGAGGACATGGATTTTCATCACTAATATTTTGAGTGGATCCAATCAGAGTTTGTTAAAGAAAAGTAAAAAAAAAAAAAAAAAAAAAATGAACTAATTGCTTTGAAAATCACTTAAAAGATCCGCAAGGAGAAGGGTTTAGTAGACAAGGAGAAACTGAAGTCACCAATAATGACAAAAATGTCTGAAAAGGGACAAAATTGAAAGTCTGAATTAGTGTGACATTTTGGGCTACAGGTCTGCTCCCACAGGGCAGGGAGTAAACAGGTGCTCCAGCATCCATTTGGGCTCACAAACTCAGCGGTCGACCACATTTCTGCATATATTCCTCAAGCCTGTTCTCATTCTGTTTTTGCCTTTGGTAGGCATTCTCCACCCACTTCTATCCTTGTTCTGTCTTTTAGGCTCAGCGCATGATATTATTATAAATGCTTCAATCTCATATCCTTCCAATATTCTCAGCTCTGCAAGTTTAGTACCCCGCCAACAATATTCTCTTTCAATTTTACCCAACTTTTGGACACTTCCTATGCTACCACATCCAAAAGGAATAGAAAACACTGCTTTTTCGTGCCCTGGTTTGCCAGCTCCAAAAAGTATATCATATTTCATATGCTACCCCTGGTGGCAACACTAGAGGAGGAAAACGCTCTTAGAGAAAAGAAATCCCTGGCATTAGTCAGCGCCTATCACAGAGGAATAGGCAGTGTTATTTTCATAACTGCTGATTATGTGTTGAGTGGGTTATCAGAGCTATAATTCAGGAGGAATTGCACAGAACAGAAGGCCCTTTCAAATGTACATGGAAACAACCACGCTCACTGCTCTAGCCGTGCCACCCACGTCACAGGTTAGAGCCCTTGACCAGTTCTGCAGGATCAGCATGCGTGTTAGCAGGGGGTGCAGCTGCACCTCCTCTCCAGGCCCCCTTTTCAGAATACTGACATAATTCCGGTTGAGGCAAGAGCAGTCATTGAGGGCAGAAAACAGCCTGCATCTGTTCTATAGGTTTCTTTTCTTTTCTTTTTTTCTTTATTGATTTTAGAGAAAGAGGAAGGGAGAGAGAGAGAAACATCAGTGAGAGAGAACATCAACTGGCCGCCTCCTGCATGCCCCCACCTGGGGATCAGACCCATAACCTGGGCATGTGCCCTGACTGGGAATCGAACCAGTGACTTCTTGGCACATGGGTTGACGCTCAACCACTGAGCCACACAAGCTGGGCTGTTCTATAGGTTTATTAATCCAAGAATAGTAGCCTTCTTTTTCACTTTGTGTTTAAATGGGATTCCTAGTTGTTGACTCACTAGGAGTTGTTTGGAGATTGCAACTAGGAGACCCAGGGATTCCAGAGAGACAGTATTTCCCAGTGCAATGAGAAATTAATAAATGCAGTCCAGAAAAATGCAGTCTGAGTTGGTTAAGCGTAATGCAAAATTACGGAGAAAAATGACTGTGGTGCATGGATAAGATATCAGATGCATCTCAGAGACTGACTTCCTGTGAGGCTTGAGGATGGGTGGAAGGTATTGGACTGCTAAAAAAGAGCTCTGTTGTCTGATGGTAAGTCAACTTGGAAAATCAGGGCTGCTGGGAAATATATTTAGGGCTACCAAAACTGTGCAATTCAAAAACAACATCTTTCTAAGCATTTGGAGACACAGAGAAAGAGTTTCATCCTACCTCAAACTTTAACACTCATGAAAGTCATAAGGGATCATTCTCTAAAGAATTCAATATGCAAAACCATCTTCCTTCTTGGTGAGATACTAGCAGGAGATAGAAAATAAGAAATCGCATCAGAAAACTTTAACTTGAAATCTAAATTAGGCCTTAAATATCTATTTATATAATTTATTTGTTACCAAATTCATCAACTTTATAACTCTTCAATAACCAAGTGGTTGTGCAGTTTGTCACTGTAAAAAGGCACTGGAAACAGAAAATGTGGAGGATGAACTCCAGGTAGTATTTCCATCACCAAGGTGGTAGCATAGCTCTTGTAGAATATACAAAGCATAACAGAGAGTATGGTGACGTTTCCGTGTTTCCTAGATTCCGATGCAGCCGTGATTATAGAATGCATAATTGATTCGAAAACAGTTGGGACAGAGAAAGAAAGAGAAATGTTTTTTTTTTTAATTAAAGAAATGAAGAAGTTACACTATTGGAAGTTTTAGTAGAGCAGTTGTTCTTAAAATCTGTTGTGAATCCCTTGATAACAGATGCTGAACTGGGATGGGAGGGGTTGCCTGTCCTCTGCCTACTGTCAAGTTTTAGAGAACCTTCTCATACAGGTCGAATCTTGAGGAGCACTGACTTAGAGAGAAAATGCCATGCAAACCTCTACTTACTTTTGTTTATAATAAGATAGATTTCCAACCCAACGTTGTGCAACCATTCATCTAGTTGGACTGATCAATCTTGTTTGGAAAATAAGTCTCTGGTCTCTGAGTAAATGAGTAATTATAGCGTTTCACTTCAATTTTAAGATACTGGAAAACATCAAGAATCATATTGACTCTAACTGGAATAGTTATAAAATTACAAAGTTCCCTTCTCTCAACTGTAAACATCTTTAAATATGATTATTTTAAATAATTTATGTATTAAAACTCTGCTAGGGCATTGCACCTTTTAATCCTCTTTTAAATTTCTTAATGATAAATCTTTATCTAATGTTCTTTTTTTAGATTTATTCTATTCTTGACACCTGCATGTAAGTTACCCATTAATATTAGCAGAAATAAAAATTTATGTGCATTCATTGATAGGAGAATAAAATCCTTCATACCACATCTTCAAATATAAGATTATAACTTCTGAGGATGTATTTGATCAGAGCAGAAAAGCAGTCTGATGTGTAACATTATGATTGATAATACATTGCAATTCATAATTGATACAATCTTAGATCTGCCAGTGCAACAAAAGGTCACTTTGAAATTTGATGAGGGCTAGAGCATAAGTTGGAAATGATATTGTATCATGTAAAGAAGGAAGACACTGACACAAATCTACTAATTCATAATAAATTAAAAATACCTTGGAAAGCACAGTAATTAACAGCAAGTTCCCAGAACTTGACATTCCACGCAAATGTCACTCCCTAGGGTATTACATCGGAGTGAAGTGTCCTTTCCCTCTCAGACTGAATACTGCTGAAGAAGTGCTGCAGAAAAAGTCAGTACTTGGTGAAATTTGGGATTTAAATAGTAGGTTGTTTCATTTATTTCTGTTTTTTCAGAAAACTGATTCAAAATCTTTCTTTTTTTTATATCTTCATGTTATTATGTACTCATGTCTATTTCTTTATATTAAAAAGAAATCAAAGCATTGGAGAATGGCTAAATGTTTTTGCAAAGTTCTCTGAGAGATGAGTTAGAGTTAAAATGGTATATTTATACTATTGAATCACAATATTTTACCCTCTGGGAAAGAAACAATTTTTACCAATGAATTGACACCAACATTGACCCAATAAGCCCGCAACCTTTTTTTTCTTTTTCAATCCTCACCAGAGGATGCGTTTTTTATTGACTTTTAGAAAGAGGAAGGGAAAGAGAGAGAGAGAGAAACATCAATTGCCTTTGCACATGCCTCAACTGGGGTTCAAACCTACAAACTGGGTGTGAGCCCTGACTGGAAATTGAACCTGCCACCATTTCGAGCATGAGCTCTAACTGAGCCACACCGCCCAGGGTGCCTCCAAACACTTTCAGTCTGAAACTACATCCACTTGTATAGAGAAAAACACCACATCAATCACCAGCCAGCCCAAATAGTCACATCAAAAAACACACTAACTATGGGATGAAGATTGGATCTGTTAAAACTAGTGCTAATACCCAAACATCTTTATGATCGTGATCAGTGTTTATCATTCCCAATCATCCTTTCCTCTTTTCCTCATACATATACTACTAGTGAAAAACTCTTGTCTACACAAAAACAAAATATAACAAACACCAAATAACTCCTGGGTTCATAATAAACCTAAATAGTAAAGCCACTGTTGTAAGACATTAGCTCCACTGAATCCATTGAGCCTCACACACATATTTACACTACTCATCTCCAAAACACAGGTCTCCTCATAATTAATTCATAAGCGATCATCCATAGTACACTGTGCGTTTGGTCCTTGGACCCAAGCTCTCTACCTTTGCCTCTATCTTACAATTGGCTACTGCATCCCGTTAACGTTGGGTATGTTCTTCATACTCTTCCACATTTCTCATCACTACCACATCTTGGTGGAAATTAATCTGAACTCCTTGTATACCTCTAAAATGAACATTGTCTCCTTACATTTGGTATGAAAGGGATATTTGTGTCATCCTTTCTGTTCATGCCCAGGCCTTTAAGTCACCTTCAATCTTGTGAAAATTCTTGCTCTTTAACAAAAAAATACATGAGGATTCTGCCTTTAAAACTACGATATGTTGATGAGGTTAAGTAAAATAAGAATGAATAAGTGTAGATATACAGGGTGGGGCAAAAGTAGGTTTACAGTTGAGTATGCGAAAGTTTATTCTTGTATTATTTATTAATTATTGTATTATTTTTCATATGAACAACTGCAAACCTACTTTTTACCACCCTTGTATATTATATTCATGAATTAAAGGTTTTTTACTGTTAAAAAATAAATTCTCCAGCTCTGGCCGGTTTGGCTCAGGGGTTAAAGCGTCAGCCTGCGGTCCAGAGAGACCCGGGTTCGGTTCCCGCTAAGGGCATGTACCTCGGTTGCAGTTTGACCCCGGCCCTGGTTGGTCATGCGGGTGGCAGCCACTCGATGTGTCCCTTTCATGTCGATGTTTCTCTCTCTCTCTCTCTCCCTCCCACTCTATCTGAATAAAAAATGGAAAAAAAAATTTTTAAAAATAAATAAATAAATAAATAAATTCTCCATAAATTGATGTATAAATTCAATTTTATCTCAATCATCACCTGAGCAAACATTTTTTCAGCAATTGATAAGCTGACTCTAAAATTTACATGGAATTCTAAGGACACAATAAATAGAACAATCTTTAATAAAATAATAAAGTGAAATATTACAGTGCCTATCTTACTATGATATCATACTAATCACAACAGTATAATATTGGCAAAATAATTGATCAGTAGATCCCTGGAATGAAATTAAGAGTCCAGAAATAGGACAATATTTGATTTTTAATGAAGGAACTAAAGTGAAGAAACCCATTGGGATAGAAAAATTTTTTCTAAAAGTAGGTGTGAATCTAGTGTATATCCATATAAGGAAGAAGAAGGAGAAGAAAAGAAGGAGGGGGAGGAGGAAGATGAATGGGAGAGGGGGTGGGAACCAGGAGAGGTAGAGGGAAAAAAGAGGGAAGGGATGAGGGAGATCTTTGAGCCTATTTCATACAATAACAAAAATCAATTTGAGATGGAATCTAATCCTAGATTAAAAAGCTAAAACAATAAATTATTTCAAGAAAATATTTTAATTGGCCCTGGCTGGTTTGGCTCAGCGGTTAGAGCATCAGCCCACAGATTAAAGAGTTGCAGGTTCGAATCCAGTCAAGGGCGCACGTACCTCAGTTGGGGTTCAGTCCCCAGCCTTGGTTGGGGTCCTGCATGAGGCAACCAGTCGATATCTCTCTCTCATGTCAATGTTTCTCTCTCTCTCTCCCCCTCCCTTTCACTGTATCTAAAAATAAATGGAAAAATATCCTCAGGTAAGGATTTAAAAAAAGAAGAAAACAAAACTATTTTTATTTAATTGGGGTATTCCAGGGATTTTTATAAATGAAAGAGAACATAATAATCATTAAAGAAAAAATATAAATTAGGCTTTATCAAAATTAAAAGTTTCTAGTCACAGTAGTCAGGTAGAAGAAACCCAGTGTCCATTAGCAGAGTCAGGAATGAAGAATGTGGTATATGCCTACAATGGGATTATTAGTCTTAAAAAATTGTAGTATTGATATATGCAACAACATGAAGGAAACTCAAAAACATTAGGCTAAGTGAAAAAAGCCAGACACAAAGGGACAGATATTGCATTATCCGATTTATATTAAATATCCAAAAGAGATGAATCATAGAGATAAAGCAGATTAGTGGCTGCCAGGGACTGGAGGGAGGGAGGCATAAGGAGTTACTGCTAAATGGGCACGGGGTCACTTTTGGTGTGATGAAATGTTTTGGAACTAGATAGAGGCAGTAGCTGTACAACATTGTGAATATACGAAATGCCAATGAATGGTACACTTTAAAAGGATAGTTTTATGTTAGGAGAATTTCACCTCAGTTAAAAACAAAAATGAAACATTTCCGTTAACCAAATCAATATTATTCAGTATTTCAAAGCAAAAGTCACAGTCTAGGAAAAAATAAATTTGCACATATATATCTGACAAAGAGTTTATATATTAGTTATACAATTAACTTCTACAACTCATTAATAAAAAGGTAGACAGCCCAATGTTTTTAAAAAACTAAGTAACATTTACACACTTTAGAAAATATAAAGGACAATGGCCAATGAATGCATGAAGAAGGAATTAAATGATTAATCATCAAGGAATTGTAAATGTAAAGCACAATGAGTTACCACAACACATCCATCACAGTGGCTCAAATTAAAAGACTGACAACATCAAGCCATGGTCAAGTAGCTCAATTGGTTAGAGAGCCGTCCTTGAATCACCAAGGTTGTGGGTCCGACCCCCGGTCAGGGCTCATACAAGACACAACCAATAAATGCATAAATAAGTGGAACAGCAAAGCTCTCTTTCTCAAAAATAAATAAATAAATAAATAAAAATGAAAGATTGACAATCAAATGTCGGGAAGAACATGGAGAAATACAAACTTCCATACATTGTTGACAGAAGTAAAGAGAAACTAGCACTATGCAAAAATGCCTAGTTATTCTTCTTGAAAAAATAAATATGTGCTCCCCAACAGTTCCACTCACATGTTTCTAAGAAAATATAATGCTGTACATGTAAAAAAAAAAAAACAAAGAAACAAGCAAACAAAAAAATACGTGACCAAAAATGTTTATAGCAGCTTTATTCACAACACAGAAAACAGCCCCTGGGTCCCTAAGGAAGAGAATTGATAACCAAATCAAATACTTGTATATTCATACTATGGAATAAAAATAACCAAACTTCTAATACACATAATAACTTGGACAAACCTCCAAATTGATATGCCAACTAGAAAAACGAACTTCCCCTAAAGTAGCGTATACCATAGGATCCCACATATATGAATTTCTAGAACAGGCACAACCAATCTAGAGTGAGGAAACATCATAGCCATGCATGCCTTTGTGGGGATGGAGGTAAATATTAAGTGTAAATATATATGAGGGAACTTTCTGGGGTAATAATGAGAGTTTTACTTCAAAGAGGTTTGGGTTACACAGGTTTACGCATTTGTTAAACTTCATTCACTTCAGGAACACACTGCTAGTGAGAATGTAAATTTTCATAAACATTTAAAAACCCATGTGCGTTACTTCATAATATTGAAGAAATATGTATGCTCTAAACCATTAATTGATTGCACTCCTGAATATATAGCCATAATAAATGCATCGTGTATGCACCAGGATATACACCTAAGAATATTCAAAGAAGCATTGTTTACAGTTGGTTGAAACTGGACACAGCCTAAATGACCATGTGTAGTGGAACAGATCAATAAATTGTTGTATACAGCAATGTAAATGAATCAACAAGAGCTACACCCAAAAATGTTGATATTGCAAATGTAATTTTGAAAGGGAAAAGCAAGACACAGAATGTAAATACAGTGTAATTCCATTTTTAGAAGTTCTAAAAACAGGCAAAACTAAACGGTATTATTTAAGGATACATTCACAGATGCTACAACTTTTTTTATTTAATTAATTTATTTATTTTTGTTACAGATGTTTCTCTTTTTTCCCCCACTGATTTGCCCCTTCCCCTCCCTCCCCGCCCTGTCCCCAGCTTTGTTGTCCATGTCCATTGTTCATGCATACATGCATATAAGTTCTGTGGTTTATCTCTCCCCCATCACCTCCTCTTTTGGGGATTATATCTCACTTCCACGTCTCTGGGACTACCCCATTCCTCAGACTGTTATGTTCCTTATATTCCACAAATAAGTGAGATCATATGAGACTT